GGGCTCTTGTGAACNGGGGGAGGGTGGATCTGATCGAAAGGGAGGCCGTCATAATTCAATTTGCCGGTTCCGCAGAGCCACGGATCTGTATGCAAACCCGCGACACGCCTGCATGTTTTACTTAACAACAACAATAACAGCAGCAGGAGCAGTGTTCAGGGCTTCACAAGCAGGCGGGCAGGTCGGGCCCAACACTGACTTCTTCCTGCCAGATCATACAGAACATAACACGTGTTGGGGGGGGGTAGTAGGGGCACAACTCCATCATTACTCTCCTCAGCACTAGATGGTACCCGTGTAGGCCCCAGTTCCGGTAGGGGCGATATGCAGAAGAGCGAAATCTCTTCCTCCCTAACAGGAATCGAACCCCGATTCCTCGGCCATCCGGTCCGTAGCCTGTCACTATACCGATTGAGCTATCTCGGACTCCTTCCTGCACAATTCAGAATTATTATCCTCTGGCATATTACACTGTGTAGTCTGGTAAACGTTGAACTACGGGGGAGTGTAGTTTCACGACGCCGTAAGTAGCCCAACTGTTCGGCGTCCGCTGGTAGGGTGACACACGGACTGGAGAGCTGCACATCATGGGCATAGTCCTCTGGGACTCGGAACCAAGAGAAACTGTGCTGACGAGGACCGATACCAATGTACCCGCCCAACAGACCGATGGATTAATTGTAAAAAAAAATTGGAATGGAGTGGTCGAGACCTAATCGAAGCAGTTATCGGCCATTTGGTGGGGGGACTGAGGAAAATCACGAAAAGTGTCAGTCACGAAAGTTGGTGTTACGACCGAGATTCGGACCGATCGCCTTCCGTGTACGAAACAAGACCTTTACCGCTATGCCAACCCTGTCGGCAACCGACGTTTCGAAGGAATATACTACCTCCATCCTCAGGAACGAAGACTAGAGAAGGAAAAGCTCGCTTGGCGCGTTTCGGCTGCTGGTGTAGGTGTACCAGACCCCTTGCTGTGTTTCCTGTGATGAGTCTGAGTTTCACTAAAAACTTACCACTCTCTGTTATTGGCTTCTGACCTAACATGCGTCTAAGCTGTTTGATATGTGTAAAGTCGCCAATTAGGGCCTCGCGGCTCTGCGTTTAAATATGGTTACCGCGCGCTGTAGCATTCGTCCCGCGCCCTAGAGAGAGCGTGGGTTCAGCGCGCTCGTGGTGAAGGCACTGGAATTGAGAAAAGGGAAATGACTGGACTTGCTTAGTCACTCATGGAGCTGAGCCCTTCTTTGAGAGCCGCCAATTCTGCAGCTGCTCAAGGACTTCCCAGCATTTTATGAAACCCGAAGGTTCCTTGCCGTGTTCACAAGAGCCCTTCACTGGTCCCTATCCTGAGCCAGAACAATCCAATCCATCCCATCCCATCTCTCTAAGATCTATTTTAATATTGTCCACCCACCTACGCCTTGGTTTCCCAGTGTTGTCTTTCCTTTTAGTTTTCCCACCAATATGATATATGAATTCCTCCGCGTCCCCATTCGTGCTACATTCCCTGCCCATCTCATCCTCCTTGACTTCATCGTTCTAATTCTACTTGGAGAAGAGTACGTACAAGTCATGAAGCTTCTCATGGCGCAGTTTTTGGAGATGACAGGGCACCGGAGAAAATTACACGAGGAGCTTCAGGAATGAATGAATGGGGGGTGGGCCACAATAATCCAGCCTCTTTCACCGCGACCTTCACTGATCTGCTGTGCTTCTCCTTTTGATTAACCCTTTATGAATCCTACGCTTGGAAAGAAATGCAGGACTTTGTTTAAGGAGATTGGCGATTTATAGACATCTTCATTCCACCTGTGCTGTGTAGCTCGCTTGGGGACGCTGTTGCTGTCTCACTTCATAGTGACATTGTTATGACGATCGATGAACTAGAAATAACTTGAAAGAAGCAGATACCATCCCGAAATATACCTGGAGCTACTATGTAAAACCACGAAAATCGCCAGTCAATGAATTCGGTGCCGAGATTGGAACCGAGCCCCTCAAGAAAATGAGTCTATAACATTAAATTAATGTATTTTTTCCCACTGGCTCTACAGCCCCCTTGGGCCCTGGCCTCTGATTTTCAGTTTCATGATCATTTTGCAGACGGTAGGACTCCCTGGACGGGTGATCAGCTCGTCGCAAGGTCTTTACCTAAACACAGGACAACACAAACACAGAATTAACACACACACCAAACATCCATGCCTTGTGTGGGATTCGAACCCACGAGCGAGCGAAGACAATACATGCCTCAGAACCCTCGGCTACCGTGGCCGGAAAATTAATGATATTACCGTGATAAAATTAAGGAGGGAGAGATGGGCGAGACCTGTAGTACGCATGAGACATCTGTGCATAGATTAGAGGAAAATATTACAAAGGGAATCTGAGAGCAGTGTGTGAGAATGTGAACTGGATTCATCTGGCTCAAGATAAGTGTTAATGGCAGGGTTTTGTGAGCACGGTGTTGGGACTTCGGGGTTCATGAAATAATGCGAACTTTTTTGAGTAGGTGATGACTAGAAGCTTCTGACGAAGGGCTCTGCTTCATGGAGTCAGCTGACTCTGACCTGGTACAGGGAAGTTGGCCTGATTCTGTTCGCGTGTTCGCGGTGCTGACATCTGGTGTCAGAGGAAAGTTGTGGCGAACTGGAGAGAATTCAGCGTCGGGCTCCCCTGAACACGAAGCCGCCGTCTTATTTAAGATCAGCGACGCTGCCATCGTATGGGGGGGGAACTTGAGGCCGGGGGAGGGGGCAAGGAATCGCACAATTTCCTGCCAATATTTTCACACTGACGAAGCCTTTCAAGCGACGAGCGTGGGGTGGGGAGAGACGTGATCTTCATCAGAAATTAACGGACTGAATGTTGTGCCACATTTTCATCACAACGGATCTGTGTCCTCACTCGACACAGCGCCTAATTGTTCCTCGGGATATTTAACGACACTGTGACAAGTGATGAAGCTTAATAGCGAAAGGGCGATCATGCATGTATCTGTGGGCTATTTTGGACAGTGAATTCGGGTGAATACATGAATGAGTGAATGAATAAGTGAAGAAATGAGTGAATCGGCAAGTGACTCACCGAGTGAACATGTGGGCAAATGGACGTCGGTAAGTATTTTTTTATTGTTAGTGAGGTGGGACTAAGTTCCTTGTACTGCGGCCACTTCTGGCCTATTGTACCAGGCCCAGATGATAGGTGAGGGTGATTGTGGAGCAATTGGTGGAATGAAGATTGGCAGGGGAAACGGAAGTACTCGGAGAAAACCTGCCCCAGTGCCACTTTATCCACCACAAGTCCCACTTGACCAGAGCCGGGATCGAACCCGGGCCGCCGCGGTGGGAAGCCGGCGACTAACCGCTTGAGCTATGGCACGGCCACGTCGGTAACTTAATCAGAGAGTGAATCAGTAAGGCAGTGATTCCGTAAGTCAGTAAGCGAGTGAATGGGTGAATCAAAAAATTGAATTAGTGACTGAATGAGAGTGAGAATAAATAAATGGATCAATATGTGAATCAATCAATAACTATTTGAGGTTTTCACGGCGGTGACTATGACGAATGCCGTCTTGTGGGATGTGGCGCCGTGTAGTTATTGTATGTACCGACGTTTCGGAGGATCGTATCGCCTACATCTTCACAGCGAAGAACCAGCGTGAGCAGGTGGCTGCAGAGTAGGGCTGCAGACTTTTATACCCTGAAGATGGAAGAGGTACGATCCTCCGAAACGTCGACTCACACAACATCTACATCAATAAATGAGTGAAGGAGCCAACAAGAGCTGCAGCTGTGGGTGGTTCCGTGTTTGGGTCAGTGAGTAAGTGGGTGAGGGTGTACGGGGGGGGGGTCTGTGGCAGCAACCAATGAACGAGTGGAGCTAGACGTATGAATTTGATACGGATGTAAATCGTAAACATACCTACACACTGACTAACTAACTTAATGGAGGTAAGCCATCAGTCGTGCAACTACTCAAGAACTTACAAACTTTTTATGGAAGCCAAACGTTCATTACCGTACTCACAAGAGCCCTGCACTGGTCCCTATCCTGTGCCAGATTGATCCAGTCCATACCATCTCATCCTGTCTCTCTAATATCTATTTTAATATTATTCAACGACCTACGTCTTGGTCTTCTCAGTGGTCTCTTTCCTTCTGGCTTTCCCACCAATATCCTATATGCATTCCTCTTCTACCCCATTCGTGCTACATGCCCTGCCCACCTCATCCTCCTTGACTTGATCATTCTAATTATACTTGGAGAAGAGTAAAAGTTATGAACCTCCTCATTATGCAGTTTTCTCCAACCTCCTGTCACTTCATCTCTCTTCGGTCCAAATATTCTCCTCAACACCCTGTTCTCAAACACCCTCAGCCTGTGTTCTTCCCTTAATGTAAGAGACCAAGTTTCATACACATGCAAAACCACAGGCAAAACCATAACTACACACTACACATGAAATTTTATTTATAGGTTGACCGTTCCAAACATGGCGGCGTTGCGAAAAGTGCTAGACTCTCTGCTTAATGACGTCTTCACAGCAACACAGGGCTAAGAGATCTGTAGCACTGCAAACCCACGCTTCATGCTACCTGCTTGAATCTCCTTGCTACATGCTCAGGTGAAGTTCTCCCTGTGCTTCAGTAATTAATGAATGGGGGAGTGGATGTATAGATCCTCGTATTCTTGACCTCAGCGTCCGGGCTGCTTTACTCCCGGGGTAAGGGGCCCAGGCACACATTCGATAGGAGGTTTGGTGGGCCCCAGAACCTATCTGGGCGACGTGTATAGGAGCAAAATCTTGCTCCTACTGGGACTCGAACTCTGACCCCTCTAAAGTCCAGCCCGTGCTAGTCGCTACTGGGGTACTACGCATTGCAAACACGACAACCATGCATTTCCCATATTCCAGGGTCGAAGTCGGGGAAGTACCCCACATAAGCATGCAACTGTGAGAGTGGCACCGGCCGAAGTGAGGTGCGGAAACTCACCTTGTGGGTGCCCCTGAAGCTCCGGCTCGTAGCCCCTGTCGCAGGGCTCCTTCTTCACGGAGACGTGACTGTACGCGGGCCGCTCGCACGGGGAGGCCGCCCTGCAACACGACACATGGTTGTAAGAGTACTCACTGTGCATCCTGTCTCACTATCAGCCGGCTCCGGCCGCCTAAACCCCGGTTACGATTGGCTAGGAGGCTGGGTGCACCCCAGAGCCGATCTGGACGCGGTCTCACTCAGGTACCATCCGGCCCCTAATTTGGTGAGCTGTTAATTTTTCGGAAAACTTTCCCTGTGTTTGGATGTACGCTTAGCGTGATATTTCTTGTTTAATTAGTCTGAAACCCGAAATTCTTGCGAGATGTATTTTCTTTCCGAAACATGGCTTGCTTCGACTGATTCTTAGCGAATAAACTCAAAATAAGCAGAGAAATTCATGTGGTTCTGAATGAAAAATATCCGGTGTTCTGTTCGGTTTTGTTCACATTCGGAATAAATCGACAAAATCTCGTGATACTGGAAGTTTTCTGTCTCCTGGAATATAACTCCATTTAGTTCGCTGATATACAACAGGCGTTTCGCAGGAAAATATTGCCTCCATCTTCAGGGATGATGAGTAATCCAAGCAATGAACGAGCTTTTTGCTTCATTCCGATTTCTTGCTTTGCTTACGTTTCTACCGTGGGTATTCCCGCGAAATATGCGTTGACTTTCATCAGAATACACGGCGTCACATCCCAGAAGATCAAACCCTTTGCATCCAGCTCTGTGATAGCCTCAATTCGTACGCGTTTAGTGAAACTGCCCGTAGCAGATCTGACCAAATTCCGTTCATGGGCTGTCCGCAAGATTGCCAAAGCGCAGGAGAACATTTTAAAATTCCGTGGCCTTTAGTCCGCAAGCGAACTATACCGACCGCCGCTTGTCAGCGAAATTAGAGGGTGTCGCGTGGTCAGCGCAACGGATCCCCACTGCCGTTAATCTCGGGTTTCTAGACCGGAACCCCTATTTTCTTGAAATAGCTCCTCAGTTATCCTCACGAGGCTGAGTTGACCCCGTTCCAGAGCCACTACTTCTCAGAAAATCTGGTAACGCTTGGAATCGAACCCGGGGCCTCTGGATCTGTAGCCAGGAACTGTGATCACTAGACCAATTGCAGCACTGAAATCTTGTAAGAAAATTAGTTGTCGTGAGGAAACAAAAAGGTAAAGAAGGCTCTAAACCCAGTCAATATTAATGTTTGCATGTAAATATGGCTGCTGTGTCAACATTATAAATTGAGGAGACCATTTCAAGATTAAATTTCGTAATTAAAAGTTCGTCTTAGAAGATTTCCACGGAAAGCAGTTCCTTGCTGCTTTCCCCGTAAGACGCGTCCACAGCGAGAAGCGATAATGAATGCACGAGCAATCACGAGTCGACTTCCTTGAGCAGCTCTTTAAAATTTCAGCATCTCTTGTATTCATTTTCGGAACCATTAAAAATACAGGCGTCTCCTTAAGAACACGCGCTCCTGTGAGACGTGCAGACCTGCGGCTTCAGGAACAGAAGGAGTCATTAAACTGATCAGTGCAACTTCCGGATACGAGGAAGGGTCAGTAAATAGATCACAAATATATTATTATTNTAGTGGGTCTGGAACGGGGTCCGCTGAGCCTCGTGAGGATAATTGAGGAGCTAATTCAAGGAAATAACGGCTCCGGTCTAGAAAACCGAAATTAACGGCTGTGGGGGATTCGTTGCGCTGACCATGCGACACCCTCTATCAGCTGAAGTTGGCACTAACTTCACAACTGAGTACACACTTCAAAAGACACATAGGATTTAGGAGCGAGAGGACTTTCAGACTGTGCTGAGGGCAGCTGGAGAGACTGAAACCGCACAAGGAAATACGCAAGATTGGCTTCAGCTGGATTAAGGAGACCCTGGATTTCAGCTTCTGACAGAGCAAGAGGACTTTCAAACTGTGTTAAGAGCAGCTAGAGAGACTGAAACCGCACAAGGAAATACCCAAGATTGGCTTCAGCTAGATAAAGGAGACCCTAGATTTCAGCTTCTGTCAGAGCAAGAGGACTTTCAAGCTGTGTTGAGGGCAGCTGGAGAGACTGAAACTGCTCAAGGAAATACCCAAGATTGGTTTCAGCTGGATTAAGGAGACCTTGGATTTCAGCTTCTGATAGAGCAAGAAATTGCTGCAGTGATATTTTTTATTTCCTTTCGTCAGCACTACCTATATAATTAAATTTCCCATTTATTTGTTTTCTATTGTGTTGTGTTTTGTGGTTATCTTCTGCTTCATTAATTCGGATGACCTCCCCTCGATTACTTTGGATTAGCGAGGGTTTCCTGTATCTGCGAATTTCCTACCGACATATGAATATTTTAAGTACTTTGAAAATATAATTTAGAAACTTTCTAATCGTGTATTTTTCTTTATTGCTAATGGGGTGGGACTAAGTCCCTTGTACTATGGCCACTTCTGGCCTATTGTACCAGCCCCAGATGTTAGGTGAGGGTGATTGTGCAGCAATTGGTGGAATGAAGATTGGCAGGGGAAACCGAAGTACTCGGAGAAAACCTGCCCCAGCGCCACTTTGTCCACCACAAATCCCACTTGACCAGACCCGGGATCATACCCGGGCCGCCGCTGTGGGAAGCCAGCGACTAACCGCTTGAGCTATGGCGCGGCCCGTTCTACTGATGTAACTGCTTACTCCACTACCTGGCAGCGACACTTCTTGGTCCAGTGATATGTATAGTGTATCTGTGGGCCAGACTGCACCGCGTCACGTGCCAGCCGCTCATAAGAACCAAGACAGCACTGGCTGGTGTAGGACGCAACAGTGGAAATTGATTACTTCGGAGCGCTTTCTTCAAAAACGGAGCTTCCTTGCAGACGTCAGAGGAACAACAACAGGTTCCGGCTTCAGCTAATGGAAATTAAGTCACGTAGTTCTGACACGTCATGGGACAAAGCGAGCGAGTTTCGGCTGTAACTTCACTTTCAAACGAGAGGTGCCGAACAGTCAGTGCCCATCGCGATATTAGCTTGAGGCTCTTTTTCCACAGGTCTTAGCGAGCAATTCATCAGCCGCGTCGCTGTGTGGGAACAGCTCCATTCAAATCAATGGTTCGCTAAGACACGCCATTGGAGCTGACATAACTATACACGATTTCTCTCTGTGCTCAGAACTGTAAGCTCATAGCAGAGGCTACTAATATTACTGTATCCTGGAATGTGATGCCGTACAGTCTGGTAGACAGGTACTGACGTTTGCTTTTAAGGGATAACTTTCGTATCCTGTTAATGAAGTCATAGATTTCTGTGAAAAACTGGTCACTACGTATGTAATTTCCGCCCTGAAGACGGAAGCAGTATAATCCTTCGAAATCTTAGACCCGTATACCAGATTACAAGTCGCATGCTCATGTTCAGTAGCACCACGGAGTGGACAGTTCTGTTCAACAGACAGCTTGTGAAGTATGGCTGCTTTGTCTTGAACATGTCATGGTTACTGGGTGTTAAAGTTTGTGACGACAGTATAACCGCGCAAATATTGTGTTTCTGGACCATTACCGCAAGAGTTCAGCTGAAAAAAAAATCTGGTCGTGAGTCTCAAAGGGCTTGATACAAAGACGAACCCACTGGCGGTAAACCGCCAGTCATAAATTAACTCTAACTCTGACAGTCTTTAAAGAGTTAAGTCGTGCCTTCATTTAAGCACAGCGCGCTTATACTGGTCCGATTTCAACCAGAATTGTAGTATGTTAGAAAATATTGGCAACAGAACTTCCAGATACCAAATTTTGGAGAAATCAATTCGGCGACCTTGAACGTGTGTCTATGTGGCAGGAGCTCACCTGAAGCAGCTGCTGGACGGGAAGCTGAAGAAGGCGGACCGGGCCGTCGGCGTCGACACCAGCTCGTCACACTTTGGGTCCAGCGTCGTCCTGGGGGGCGGAGGAGGGGGTGGTGTGTACCTGCAGCAAGTATAACACAGTGACAACGTTGAAGAATATTACCTTGTAGGATGTGACACCGTATAGCTTGGTAGAAGTTAACCGACCTTTCGGAGAATGTACTGTTTCCTTCCTCAGGGGGGAAGAGTAAGCCAAGCATGCCACCAGGAGAAAGCAGGTAGCAAGCAGCGCTCTGCTTACAGATTATTGCATTTAGTTTCTGTGTCAGCGACTGAACAAGGTTACTTATAATAATCATTATGGAAGATGACAGTAACTGCAATTTTGTAGGGGCGTGAAACTTCTTGTTTCAAATTAAGGGAGGAACATAGACTGAGGGTGTTTGAGAACAGGGTGCTGAGAAGAATATTTGGACTGAAGAGGGATGAAGTGACAGGAGGTTGGAGAAAACTGCATAATGAGGAGCTTAATAACTTGTACTCTTCTCCAAGTATAATTAGAATGATCAAGTCAAGGAGGATGAGATGGGCAGGGCACGTAGCATGCATGTGATATGGGAGGAGAGGTGAGAAACTCATACAGAATTTTAAGAAACCCTGAAGGAAAGAGGCCACGAGGAAGACCTAAACGTAGTTGGGAGGGTAGCATTAAAATATTCTTTAGAGAAATAGGTTGCAGGATGTGGACTGGATTTATCTGGCTTAGGATTGGGACTCAGGCGGACTCTTGCGAACACGGTAATGAACTTTCAGTTCCCATCGAATGCTAGTATATTTTTGAGTGGCTAAACAAGTGTGAGCTTCTTAAGAATGACTCAAAATTAGTATGATGTTGATGATACCTGTTACGTGCAGGATCCTTGTGCAGGCCTGTAAGTGAGCACGGCGAGGGAAACCCCGCTGGGGGCCCGTAGCTCGAGTACGGCCCTGTAGTGGCGTAGTGACCCCCTGTGGGGCCCGGGTACGGACAGGGTGCGGCGAGGTGCGAACACGGCTTGAAGAGACCTGGAGACCGGGGTTCCTGCTTGATGCTCGAACAGCCTGCCCCAACAGTAGGAAGCGAGCAATGAGTAGCTTCTTACCTCGCTGCGACTAGAACGTGACATAGACGGCCAGCACTGAAACTTCTGCAACGAATGTGATTAAGGGCCTCGGCAGTCAGGCAGTGCTACCAACACACGCTGCCCGCTGTGGACTGTAACTGACGTAAATAAATGCAACTCATTATTATTATTATTATTATTATTATTATTAATCCTTTCTTTCCGCGAGTCTAACGGTGCACACCATAGCGTAGTTGGTTGAGGTGCTATTCTACAAGCCTGAAGGTCGCGGATTCGAGTCACGATGAAGTGGATTTTTTCAATTGACCTAATCCTTCCAGTCTCACTATGGTCCAGGCGTCGACTCAGCCTCTAACAGAAATGAGTACCAAGAATCTTCCTGGGGGTAAAAGGCGGCCGGAGCGTAAGGCTGACAACACCACCACCATCTATGAGCCGATTTTCTAGAGAAAATGTGGGAGCCTCGACGTCTCACAACCCTATGGACCTCCATCGCCTGTTACAGGGCTAGCTTTACCTTGTCTCACGGAAATCTGTGAGCCGATTGTCTAGAGAAAATGTGGGAGCTTCGACGTCTCTCAACCCTATGGGCCTCCATCGCCTGTTACAGGGATAGCTTTACATTTTTTCCATCCCTCCGGACCATTTCTGCTGTTCTCTGGCTTTGCATGAATTAAGATCGCACAATTTACGTGTGAGGAGGCACCGTCTCTTATTCAACTTTGCTTTGGCTCTAAATTGTGTGTCTCTGTTTTGGAAACTGCTCGGTATATCCGAGACTTCGCTTGTTCGCTGTCTGCTCCTCGCGTAAACTTTTTGCGGCTGCTGATGTCAGCAGGGACGTTCCCCTATTCCATCTTCCATCATACTTTATATGATATAATTGTTATTATTATATCGAATGTGTATGTATAGTTGAAAGACAATTCTGTACGGGAGTCTGTGAAGACAGAACTTGAGGCGGGGGCAGAGGAATAGCCATTGTTGGAGCCGTTACCGGGCAACGTCTAGTAACAGACTGAGGAGGCTAGATTGTGTGCTTTAGCGAACTGTAGTGTGGATATCATGATAGTGATATAGTTATTTGTAGTTACAACCTGTAAGTGATCAATAAATCTATTCACCCCGCTTACAGTCACACATACCACGTGTCAGTGTGTATGTAAGAATATTACCCTTTACCGCAGTATAATGCCATTCCCAATGCAAATACGTTTGTTATGCTTATCTCACCTGTTACTGGTAACTTTGATCTTTCATTAAATTATTATTATTATATAAATTGCCTTATTTTAATTTTGTTTGGAAATTTTTGTTTGTTTCTTTCTACGTACTCGTGCTAACTCGGTAATAGGCCTTTGGGCTGTTTAATTTGCACACTAATAAACAAGAACTGAATTTTATTATTATTATTATTATTATTATTATTATTATTATTATTATTATTATTATTATTATTATTATTATGCTAGTCTTGTGTTCCTACTTGTCATGTTCGAGACTTCTCTTCTTTTAGCGTTCGTCCCTCAAAAAGACATTGTCCCTCTTCTCGGTGCGCCCTTGCTACCAACGTGGTGGGTAAAGATCTTGACATATTTGCAGACGGAGCGGTTTCTCTGAATCATATTTTACAAGCATGTACCAAACCTTTTACGGTGCTACTGGATTAGTGTTTTCATTAAATACAAATGTGTGTACCTCGGCTAACGTTAATTTTCTTTTGTAATTGGTTTTAATTTATTGACTTGTTATTAATTGTATCACTCCCAGGTGTCTTATATCAGTATTTAGTTACTAACAGTATTAGCAACACTCGTAATAATTCATAAATGTATGTATATATTTAAGTCTTCTTTAGATTAATGCTCACAGATTTATTTGTCATATTTGTATTTTGTTTTCATTATTTTCTGTACCTTATATACTCGTGCTAACTTTGTAATTGGCCACTGTGCTGTTAAGTTTTTGCACGTAAATAAAAATGAATTGAATTGAATTATTATTTTTATAAGCGATTCGAATCGTTTCAAATCGATTATGATCATGTCAATTTAATTTCTTATTACTGAGTGTAATCCTTCTCTGTGGAGTTCTGGGTACTATGTACAGTGTGTTTCATAAAGACCTTATAGACTTCAAGTACTCATTAGGTTTAATTCGCGGGGGAGCGTCAGACTGCGGCGGAAATAGTACAACTGCCTTGCCGAGAAGCCTAAAGCCCCCTATAACATATGCCACCTGATTTACTACTACAGCTGAATTACCGTCTGAAATATATGTACTTCAAATCGGTCAAGTCTTTATTAAACAGGCTGTATTATGATAATGACAGGGAGTACAAAAATGTCCCGGGCAAAGTACAGGTACTTCTTCTTGTAACAACTAAACTAAGGCTTCAAAATATTATAAAGATTATTATTGGGTTACCCCTTTTGACTACGCAAAAACAGACAAGCTGTTTAGAGCCACTAGTTTGGGAAATGCTCTTTAAAAAGCGGAAAAGAAATATGAATTGTGGAGTTGAGCGCTCCTGGAGACAGGAAGCAGAACTAGTCAGACTGTGGTTGTGTTATTAAAAAGCCCCGTAGCGCTCCCAGCGGGAGAACAGAACAACATTTCTGATTATTATTGCTACATAATGTAAGACGTCGGAAGACATGGACACAAAAACCGGGGTAACGAGAAGCCAGGGCGCCATGCTGCGTCGCGAGATGGAGCAAGCGGGCGGGTGGGGACCGACGGCGTCTTAAAGTGGGCCACAATCACATCTCTGACATAAACCTCAGAGAAAGAAATTGCGACGGGGGAGGTAATATTAAGACTGTGGGCGGGGTCCAGCCTTTTAAATTCAATTCAATTTTTGGCAAAACCTCTGTTTGTTAGTGACTGTAAACCATTTATAAACACGAGGGTTACTGTGCTTTGGGTTGTGTCACCTTACAGTCTGGTAAAATTGTACCAGACTGTACGGTGCAACACCTCAGAAGACCGTGATCTGAATTATATACCAGGGCAAAATTGTTAATATGGAGGACAATGTCGGAGGGTGCAGGGGGGTGAGGGTGTGTGCTGGGATATAAACGATTATATTTTGTGCTTCCTGTGCTGAAATTTGAGATACCAAGTTCCTCGGAGGCCTTGTTTCCCCAGACTTCACTGCGTCATGTCCCACGAGACCACAATTTTAATGCTCACCGCTGCTAGAGCTTCATGGCTCACAGAGACACACCCTGCTGAGACTCAGTAGTTGAGAGACATATACTGCTTCCTTCCCAGGGATGTTTCTCCTACCTACCCGGAACGTGACTCCTCCCGTGAGTCACCATTCATAAAGAACATATTGACATGATTGACCAGTGATGTACAACCCGCTGGCCGCAGGTCGCATGCGAGTTCGGTTCTACACTGACACCCGTACACCGGCCGCTCGAGCCTAGGACCTCCCTTATCAGTATTCTTGATATCGACACTAGATGGGGGTGAGTGGTCAGTTTTGCGCCCCAGCCGCTTTACCCCCAGTGAAACAAGCCCCTCTTACCCAAGGGTTAAGAAGCTGGGTGGGCCCCACAGCCGGTCTGGGCGATGTGGGAGATGAGAGAAATCTCTTGCCCTTGCAGAGAATCGAACCCCGTCATAAATATATAGTGTCCCACGAGGAAAGGTCAATATTAAGGGAGGTCATAGTATCGGTCACTCTAAGCAAAAAACTGTATATGTACATGTCCTGCTCCTAGCGGTTTCCGAGATAGAGCTATTTCACTGTACAGTTCCAAAACTCTTGATAAGAAAGAGATATTACGTACTGTTTCTAATACCGGTATTTATTGTTCACGTGACAAAGTTGGTACAGTTTGCCTAGTTTAACACATTTTCGAAAATTCCACCTTCAACATCAATGCACTTTGCAACTCGTGTGAGGACATGGCGTGTTGCTCGCCTGTACAGTGTACAGTGAAACAGCTGTATCTCGGAAACCGTTAGGAACAGAACACATGCACATGTACAGTTTCTTGCTTAGAATGGCCGATACTATGACAGCCCAGAATATTGGGACACTCTGTATGTATACACATGGGAACGGCTGGGACTCCCTTCTGTACAGATCAAGTTGGAGCTGAGGTTCGTAGCTACCAGCCCCTAAATAGGACGGGAATGTGTTGAGAGGTGTACATCCTGAACTGAGAACATGATATGATTCCCCTGTTCGAGCTACATGTTCAGTCCATCGTACCGTTTCATGAGACAGACATCCACATGACGCACGTGGGAAAGCTGAGGCGGCCGTTTCTTCGAACATTTTTTCCTTCCAAATGCTCGCTTCGCGTCGGGACGAGCAAATAAAGACCCTGGGTACGCAGTTTGCACTGCGCAAGCGAGTTCCCATGTTATTAAAGGCTCTGGGGCCCGGGGCGGGCTGCAATATGCTTGTGTACACTGTATTACAGCAACAATAACGAGGGTGCAAATATTTGCCGTTCGTCGCTACCAGATCGTGTTCACACATCAGCACGAAATTAAAATCGCCTCATTTAGCTTTGTTTACCCGCTCCGGGCCTCAACTAGGCCGTCCCGGCTGTGTCAAGGTTTTCCTCAGGTCCTGGAACCTTAAAATCACCACATCTCAAATAGTCTGATGATGAAATCGCGAAATGAAAAATGCCGTCTTCTGGGATGTGGCACCGTGTAGATATTATGTTAACCGACGTTACGGAGGAACGTATCGCCTCCATCTTCAGGATATAACATAATCTGTACATGGCGCCACATCCCAGAAGACGGCATTTTTCATAGTCACAGGCATGAAAACTTCAAATCTTACAAATCACGAAATATTTACGTAATAATTCTCGGAAAACGCTTATTTGCGTGTCTTCTCTCTATTACCTACTTCATTTTCATGGGACTAGGCATGAATGTCATGTCAATTGACACCCACTAACACTCAAAGAATATAACAGATATCTGACGTTCCCACTGTGATGACAATGGCCATAACTGTGTTGTGGTAGATCTAGACCGACGTTTCAAAGCTCCCGCCTAGCTCTTCAGGTATATGAGAAACCCTTACGCTTACATCCTGAAGATGGCGATAAAAAATTCCTCCGAAACAGACTAAATGTCACAATATCGTGTAAGACAGTAATTGACTAATTAAAACTTTTCAGAATATAGCGTCTACTGAGTCCAGTGAATTGGATTACATTTAGTAAACAGACTCGGTAAATTAGCAAGTTCATTACTAAAGCAGTAAGTGAATTGCTTCTTATGCGCCCTTCACACAGCGTGCGAGTCAACAAGATGGCGCAGAAGCAGCCACGTGTCCCTTTAAACATCCGCAACTCTGGACTACCACTGGACGGATGTTCATGAAACTAGAAAGGAGAGGGTGTGCCATTGGAAGTTAAGTTGAGCTCAAAGTTCTAACATCCTACAAGAGGTAGGAGAAACATGGCCAACGCACGAAGTTGTGAGGTGGGAGCGACAGTAGCGCCAATATCGACACACGGTGACCACGGCAGCCAAAGTAAATACGGTTAACCATATTATCAACAGGAAACGTGGTGGTGATACTACTCAGACAAACGAACGTAAAAACAATAAATACTGGGAAGAACTAGCATAACATATCGCACAGACAGCAAGCTGATCTCAAAAGCCTCGTAAGCCTGAAGAAAAAATTACGGAAGGTAGACAGACAGCAAGATGATCTCATAAGTCTGTTTTTTTTTAATGAGGAAAGTAGACTAAAAATAAACGTAACAATTGGAGTTAGAGCTTACGAAATGTAGCTGCAGTGGAATGCGGGTTCAGAATTCCAAGACCCGGGGAACGGCAGCGGTAACTGCACTGAGATGCGGGTCGCGTTACTGATTGGTTACTTTGTCAGTTATTATATAACGTACCTGGTGGCGCCGCGTGGTGGTGGCTCTGGAACTCCGGAACATACTGCTCACTGTCGTCCGTCTCGCAACTGCTCTCTGCAACAGGGCAGTCCGTCCAAACGTCAACATCAAGCCAAATTTGCTGGGATATCCTCACCTCTGTAGGCTTTCCCTTTCAAGTTTTCCTAATCAAGCATGGCGGGCAGAACGCACGTTACGGAACCTGTCCCAAATTACAATTCGGGTATGTGAAGCCGTGTAGTTTGGTTTATAGATATTAAAATTTTGAAGGAAACTGCCGCTCTGTCTTGACGGCAGAACACTAAGAGAAGATCCTTCCGGAACTTTGGCTGTGCCTGGCTAATATACATGACGAAGGAGACGGAAAATTGCTCCGAAACATTGACAGTACTTATCTTTTCCTTAAGTTTTCTCTAGATGTTCGTGCCTATCTACAGGACTGCACGGCGTCACTTCCCAGCAATTCGTAATCCCAATATCCTCCGGTGTCAGAATCTCAGATCTCCCACATCTCAGTATGAATCCTGCAGGGCGTATCTAGTTTGCAAACGAGGTTCTGACAACCGAGCTATGGCTATAGGTCCTATCTGATGTGGAGGGAATAATATTACGGAAATCCCACACTTCAAAGCGCAGCGCTTCATACCCCATCACCGAAAATATTCTTAACAACTGACGATCATTTCTGCAAACGAATCGAGGCTTTATGTTCCGCGATTGGGGAACAGGGGTTCGATTTCAGGAAGAGGCAAATATTTTCCCTTCTCCATTGCATACAGGGCGCCTGTGGGCCCTTCTATCCCGTGGGTACGCCGGGCTCTTTCCTGGGAGGCGGGGGTCAAGCCGGAGATTAAAGCGGACAACTCATTTCTATCTAGTACTGGGGTTAAAAAATCGTGGAGCTATGCCTCCACTCCCCATACATCTTAATTTTGTGGTGCTCAATTAGAGATAGAGGCAACTTTATCTTGCACGTTGGCCCAGTGGCTAAGGCTGGCGACCTGAATTAGGAAGTGGGGGGCCCAGTTCCAACCTCGACGGAGACAGCGACTAACGTGAATTTTTCGTGGTATTCCTCAGTCAGTCAGTGCAAATGCGTGTGTAGTGCCTTAAACTACTTCAAAATTGCTTCTTTCTGCATTCTTTTCGGACCCCTGTCCAATGGTAACCACTCGTTACACGCTATGAAATCTGAGAGACTGGAAGTGTTGTTAAATAAACAACAAGCTAATACATTCTGTCTGTAACTTCTGCATAAATTATGTAATCACATGTGGTTCACCTGCCAGGCCTATCAGCAACCGATATGCTTATCGCAGAGCCTTTGTGCATTTTAAAGAACGCCACTTTATCCCTTGCGTGAAAAAGTAAAGCTATCCCTGTAACAGGTCGTGGAGGCACATAGGGTTGTGAGACGTCGAGGCTCCCACATTTTCTAGACAGTCTGCTACAGATGGCGGCGAGGTCTGCCTTACGCGCCGGCTGTCTTTTACCCCCACTAAGATTCTTGGTACTCATTTCTGTTAGAGGCTGAGTCGACCCCAGGGCCATAGTGCGTCTGGAAGCATTAGGTCAATTGAAAAATGCAGTCACCTCATTGAGAATCGAACCCGATACCTTCCGCTTTATAGCATAGTGCCTGAACCCACTACGCTACCGCGTGACCCCCATCCCCTGTGTAACACAGATATTCACCCGACCCCTGAAGGATAGACTGAATATTCAACACGTATGTGGCGCTGTGTCTGGAGACTGGAGGATGCTTGTACTTCCCGGATAATCTGCTTTATTTGTAGCAAGCCAAGTGACTTAGCGGTAGCACTCCAAGGAGCCCCGGGGTGACCAAATGAATAGGAGGGTGGGCGACCCCCCGCCCATTACAGTGATTAGCCCCCTCCTCGGCGTCTGCACACAAAGGCACCCCAACTAAAGATGAGCAAACACTGTCACTGACAATCAATCAACGTCAGCAGAACGGCTTCTAGATCGCGCATGACGCGAGTTCAATCGCTCGGAAGCCACAATCCGATTTCACGTGCATATCGTTTTGTTTCGATACGGCAGCGAGATATCGATTATTTCATTGTTCGAATTCCGAGTCAAGTAACGCCGAGAGACGGACGCGAACCTGAGCACAAGACAGGAAAGAATACATTGGCGTGAGGGAAAGCTCAAAACTTCTCACGTTACGTTCATCTTTATCTTTATCGAGAAGAGTCCCTATCCTTCGACGACAAGAAATTTATTTCTTTATTTTTTTGAGTGGGGGTGACACTGAGTCCACTTGGTATGTCCACCATTAATTGACCTATTGTACCAGCCCCGAATGATGATGATTGTGGAGCAGTCGGTGGAATGAAAATTGGTAGGGGAAACCGAAATACTCAGAGAAAACCTGCCCCAGTGCCTACTTGTCCACAACAAATCCCACATGACCTGGCCTGGGCTCGAACCGGGGCCGCCACGGTGGCAAGCCGGTTAACTGACTGCCTGAGATATGGCACGGCCTCCGACGAAGAGAAGGTGAGGTGGTTATCAATGCTTTCCCACGTCTGCCATTGCATTTATTCATCTCTAATTAATTTAAAAGCCCCGAAACTAACTTAGATTAAACGTCAAGCGTCGAATGGCTGGGTGATTATGGACTGGAAAGGATGTGGAGTGACGCGGCTGTGACCCCGTCTTGACTACTATCCAGGAATGACTGAAGAATACCGCGCAATCCTCAGACAGGATAGTTAGTGTGCTGACAGAGATTCGAAGCCAGTGCCTCCCGAATACAAGTTGAAAGCATTACCGCCTGAGCTAACCTGCCCCGTACTGTGCAAGCTGAAAACATTGACATTGCTGTTGCGATGGTGCACTGAAGCTCAGTGTGTCCCTAAATGTACAGTAGATTTGTCAAGGTAGGCGAGTTCTAGCCACCGCCAACCTCGCCTTCTCTTCGTTGGAAACTTTCCACAGGAATATATGTACTTGGCTTGAAATTTTCCTCACGCCTGCTTATCCTGAGCCCTGCTCAGCGAAGTTACCAGATTATACGATGTCGAATTTTATAATTTCTCATTAATGAGGAATCGAAAAAGATTTAGAAGGAAGCCGTCATGGACTGATCGCGGCAATATTCCGACAGTTTCTTGGAGGGAGTGAGGAAAACCACGGAAACCTCAGTCAGTCTAAGCCGAAATTCGATGCAGACACCTCCGAAACACGAATCTTGAGCGTTACCATGACCTGATTCCCCTAATTACGCCTACACTCACTATACAGGGTGTCCCAGGTGGAAAGGTCAATATTCTGGGAGGTCACAGTATCGGTCATTCTAAGCAAGAAAGTGTATATGTACATGTGTCCTGTTCCGAACGGTTTCCGAGACAGAGCCATTTCACTGTACAGTTCCGAAACTGTTGATAAGAAAGAGATATTACGTACTGTTTCCAATACCGGTATTTATTGTTCAGGTGACAAAGTTGGTACAGTTTACCTAGTGCAACATATTTTCGAAAATTCCACTGTCAACATAAATGCACTTTGCAACTCGTGTGAGGACATGGCGTGTTGCTCGTCTGTACAGTGTACTGTGCAGTGAAATAGCTCTATCTCGGTGCAACTCGTGTGAGGACATGGCGTGTTGCTCGTCTGTACAGTGTACTGTGCAGTGAAATAGCTCTACCTCGGTGCAACTCGTGTGAGGACATGGCGTGTTGCTCGTCTGTACAGTGTACTGTGCAGTGAAATAGCTCTATCTCGGTGCAACTCGTGTGAGGACATGGCGTGTTGCTCGTCTGTACAGTGTACTGTGCAGTGAAATAGCTCTACCTCGGTGCAACTCGTGTGAGGACATGGCGTGTTGCTCGTCTGTACAGTGTACTGTGCAGTGAAATAGCTCTATCTCGGTGCAACTCGTGTGAGGACATGGCGTGTTGCTACAGTGAAATAGCTCATCTCAGAAACCGTTCGGAACAGAACACATGCACATATACACTTTTTGTTTAGAATGACCGATACTGTGACCCTCGTGGGACATTCTGTAGAGTACAGACAAAGTTCCGTGTACTGTAATTTTCCTGATTTTCTAACATCTCCCAGAACGGTTTATCCTTCCTGTAGGCTTTCTAACGTCGCCCTGCACGAAAGTAAGGACGTTATAAAATTACTGTCCTGTCAGATGCAATGACGTACAGTTTGGTACATGAGTATCAATATTTTCAGAGGCTCCTGTTGCCTACATCATAGGGGTGTAAACGACTTCTTCTGTCCTGAATACGCCGGCAGGAAGTTTCTCCGAGCCGTTGGTACTTGTCGTGTTACTTCCAATTTAAGACGCAGCCGGTTTTTGAATGTGGGTTTCAAAAGAAATATCCGGTCATGAGCCCCAGCTGGGACTCGACACCAAGACAGACTGACTGACTGACTGACAGTTGTAACATGACTTTGACTTTGATTTTGAATGTGGGTTTTAGAATAAAAAAGTTAGAAAGGTTCAAATTCCTCGAATTTGAGACATGCCTCAATTTTTTAACAGGAGAAAAAATATGTGTATATCCGAAGCAATGCGGTATTTAACAGTCTACACGGCGTCACATCCTATAAGACCATATGTCTAACTTGGGACCCACAGCCGTGAGACCCTCAGATCCCACAAGCAGAACTGCAGTTTAGTTCTTTCAACTTCTTTTAAACAAAGTTCATAAAATGAACGCACGATGGGGAGCATTATTCTAGGCCATATTTTAGTTATCCTTTCCACGAAGATATAATATTTTAGAGAAAATATTGGCTTGACCATAATTTTGGATATGAACCCTCCCGCCCCCGCCAGAGCCAAATTTCAACGAAACAGATCCATAAGTTTGGGAAAGAAAAGGACGGATTCGCAAACAAAATTTCGGTTACCCCTCCACTTCACGCACTTTGCGCACAAAAATGCATACGGAGTTATTAATGAAGAGGGCCGGAGCTTCCAGTTACGGTGAGTATAGAAGTGTTATCCCTTTGGGACGTGACAGCGTCTAACCTGAAAATGGGAATACTACGTTCCTCCGAAACGTCCATAAACTTCGACCAGACTACACGGTGTCACATCCCACAAGACATCACTCTTCCCAGAAGCTATTATTGACATGACAGCGCTAATGGGCCACAGCAGGTGAATGGGTCGCGGTACGCATGCGCCGCGCTAAGGCAATCAGGGTAAACGTTGGCGGGCTCACCTTCCTGCAACCAGGGCTCCTGTGTCTGGCGGAACTCGTGGAAGATGTCCCCTGTAAGAAAACAGAGAAGTGACGGTCTTACCACTTGAACCTGTGCTCACTGCTACTGTTTCACGTTTACACCTGTCACTCACGTGGCGCCACAGTCGCACACATAAACCAAGGAACCAACTTTCATTGGACGAACAGATCACGAGACCTCTCGATTACGGGTTATGTTACTCGGTAGCTACAACATACAGCGTCGAATGGTAGGGTGACACTGATGAATTGGAAAGGATCTGGAAGGAAGCGGTCTTAGCTACATGTGGAACGTGTAACACGCATTAGGGAGACGTGAAATATAAATAAAATTGTAGTTTTAAAATCTAAATGGAAGAGATCACTTGGAAGAACTAGACATAGATAGGAGAATAATACTAAACTGGATGTTACGTGAAGACATAACTCACAGTACGAGCCTCTGGTGTGCTAGAGACTGGAGGCTCCTAGAGGCGTCAAACAAGTCCATCAGTCAAAAACAGGCATTTCTTGACTAACAGCTACTGAAGCAGGAGGTTTCTTGCAAGTAGACGTGAAGATCATACCACCCAATGTCAGCAAGCATCCGAAACACATGTGCAGTAATAACAAGCCTCGACGCTCTACATCCTGGGCAACTGGCAGCATCGTTACAAAGTCACAAATAAATTTACGGCCTTCGAAGGACAAACAGCAGTATTCACCATAGGAAACTCTGAAACTCTGTTTGCATGTCGAGTGAATATTGAGTGGCTTCAGCTGGCTCCCGTTCCCATGACTCCCTCTGCGCCCACTTACAAGGACCACTTCTCAGTACCCTTCAAATTTGCACTGGTCTCTACGTTCCTCCGAAACGCCCAGCATTCTGCGACTTACACGGCTTTAAAGCCCAAAGCCAGTACTGGTTGCAGCTCTGTGTCAGCCGGACATTGGGCATCAAAATCAGCCAAACAGATCCAATGCAGCTACGAGTGAAAGCGGCACAAGTCACGGTTTGGGAAGACTTGATGAGGGGGGGCAGGCGAAGCTACGAAACTGCGTCACAACATCTGCTTACCTTCCTGGTGGTGTCGAGGGGCGGCCTTCTCGGGGAGCTGGCTTTGCTGCAGGGGGAAGAAGCTCGTTGCCCCCGGGGGCTGCTGTTGCCCCACGGAGACCGCCTTTCCCGCGGGCAGGCACTCCGGCGACGTGGATTGGTGCAAACCAAATGCAGATCCCTGAAGCCAGAAACATTTCTGCTCAGAAAAACATAGGACCAGGCGAAATGGAAGGAAATAACATAATCCAAGGTCGGGTCATATGTGATTTGTGGTGGACAAAGTGGCACTTGGGCAGGTTTCCTCCGAGTACTTCGGTTTCCCCTGCCAATTCTCATTCCACCGACTTCTCCACATTCATCATCATCTAACATCCGGGGCTGGTACATTAGGCCAATTAGTGGCCGACGTACCAAGTGGACTAAGTTTCACCCCCACCCCAAGAAATTAATTAATTAAAACAGTTTATACGTATGTTGTCGCACCATAACGCTCAAATACCTCACGGGGAATGCTCTAGCAACGTAATGTTAAAACGTGATATTCAGGAATGTGACGCAGTGCAAATTGGTACATAAATACTGGCGTTCAGTAGGATCTTGCTGCTTCAGTTCTCATTATACACCATGAAGATGAAGGCATCATGCTACTCCGATACTCGCAGATATCTACCAAACTATACGGAGCCATATCCCACAATCCTGCACTCTTGTAATCGCAAAGTGTAAATACTTTGACAAGTTACACTGTGTCTCGAAATTACGATATTATGACTTGCAGGCTAAATTTAAATGCATGCATTGACATGACCATGGTAGCTTCATGCTCTGACCGCTCTTATCCCCGGGGAAAGTGATTCTGGTAAGTTGTATGTGAGTGGCTGCGCCCGAAATTGGTTCCTAACTTCTGGTGAGAAGAATTACAAGAACCCGTAGACTTCCGGTTGCTGAGCTCTGTTGGCGAACTGTGAGCAGTAGCATTATTTGCCTTGTGTCTCCTTCCGCTTCATCCTTATCCTTCTTTCTCTCCTTTATATATTTTCTCTTCCCCTTCTTTGTTGGCACGCGATAGTGAAGTTGGTTGACGCACTATGCTACAGGCCGAAAGACCGCGGGTTCGAATCACGATGAGGTGGATTTTTTTTTCAATTGACCTAATCCTTCCAGCCGCACTGTGGCCCTGGGTCCGCTCAGTCTCTAACAGAAATGAGTACCAGGAATATTCGTGCGGGGTAAAGGGAGGCCGGCGCGTAAGGCTGACCTTACCTCCATCTATGCGCCGATTGTCTAGAAAATGTGGGAGCCTCGACGTCTCACAGCCATGTGGGCCTCCACGGTCTGTTACAGGGATAGCTTTGCTTTTTACTTCTCCCTTGTTTTCTATTTCTTAATCTCCCTTCTCCATCTTTCGCTTTTCTCTTCTTTCCTCTGCTCCGTCTCCGCCTTAACCTCAGCCTTCTGAAGGTTCTCCTTCCTTAACATAATTTAACATTAATCCGGTGCTAATGAGTTTCACAGGGAGCCGGGATAGCGACTGGCTGCGGGCTGGACGAGTCCCGGTAGGCTCAAGAATTGTCTCTTCCCCACAGAGTCCAGACCGGCCCTGAGGCCCACCCAACCTCCTATCCAATGGGTACCGGGGGCTCTTTCCCTGATGGTAAAGAGACTGGGGCGTGAAGCTGAACACTCACCTCCAGCTAGTGCCGAGGTCAAGAAAATGTGGACTTATACATCCCCTCCCCCATACGCCTTCATGCCGTAGTGCTTAATTAGTTAAGCACAGGAACAACTTTACCTTTTACTACTGAGCTTCGTAACTTGTGCTCTTCGCCAAGCATAATTAGGATGATCAAGTCAAGGAGGATGAGATGGGAAGGGTATGTAGCATGAATGGAGTAGAAGAGGAATGAATGTAAGTGGAAAATCCAGAAGGAAAGAGACCACTAGGAAGACCAAGACGTAGGGGATGGATACAATTAAAATTGATATTAGAGAGCCGGGATGGGGTGGATTGATCTCGCTCAGGATAGGGACCAGTGGATGGCTCTTGTGAACACGATAATGGACTTTCGGGTTCTACAGAATGCTGGGAAGTTCTTGAGTAGCTGCACAACTGTCGGCTTCTCAAGAAGGGTTAGTATACTATTGTTGTTACTAATAAATGTATGTTTCTTCTCCCCCCTGCTGCTCCAGTGACGTGACCCGCACAACTGTGGGAAGGCTTGAGCGCGAGGCAGCGGCTCTGCTGCGGGGAACCCCGGGACCCCGTTTAAGAAGCCCCACCGCAACAGAAGTGTCGGGGAGAAGGAATTCATTTGCGGAGGAAATCAGCAGCCACGGTTCCTGCCTGAAATTGCTTCATTTCCGAGAGAGACTGACTTCTACTACGCGCTAACACGGTTACCGGTGCGGTGAGGACTGCAACCCGTCTGTCAGAAGAACTCCCGTTATCGGGAGGTCCCCGCAGAACCCAGGACCAGTGACAGGCTATTTACGTGTCAGCGTGTGACCCAAGTGAATTTAAAACTTACCGAATCTTACAATTTCCCTCCAATGGGTGCAAGAGTTTAAGCTTTTTCCCCCCCTAATGTTTCGACTTTCGTTTCGGTCCGAAAAGGTTGGGCTTTAAGTTCTGCTTTTACAAATAAACCTGTATGGTTATCAGCTGTAACAGTGAAGATCTGAAGATACACGAGCCCCCTGTTCGTAAGTACTCTAAAGAGACCAGTAGAACAATGCAGGGTCACATAAATACATCCCTGTGACAGACTGTGGACGCCCATACAGTTGTGAGACGTCGAGGCTCCCACATTTTCTAGGCAATTGGCTCACAGATGACAGTGAGGTTGTCAGCCTTACGCTCCGGCCGTCTTTCACACCGTAGAAAGATTCCTGGTACTCATTTCTGTTAGAGGCTGAGTCGACCTCGCGGCCATAGTGCGGCTGGAAGGAATAGGTCAACTGAAAAATACAGTGACCTCATCGGGAATCGAAACCGCGACCTTCTGGTTTGTAGCATAGTGCCTCAACCAGCTGCGCTACCGCGTGCCCCCGCAGTTCTCGTTTGGTGCTTTAAAATGCAAGCAGTGAATGCTAAAGTGAAGTGCACAAAATGCTCGTTTGGCTAGAGAGTCGCCTTGAATCAGAACATTTCGCCTTCAGAACTTCACAGAAATTCTATACTGGAACTCCACATGAAAACTCACCGCGGGGAGTGAAGCTTATCTGCGTCATTCGACAATGTGCAGTCCGAGTTAGAGATCGACAAACTAAAAATAAATGAAATAAAATATTATGGCGTATTTGCCCAAAGCAAGAACTGTGGAAGCAAAGAAATAGCCGTTGCTACGTAAGGGTCATTACACACGCAACAGAGCAACGAGTCACGTACGCTGTGACGTCACGCAAAAATAGACGTTGCAAGCGGCGTTCTCTGACGGTCCGCGCCGCGCTCATTGTTAGGCAACGGTACGGTAAACACATTTTTGCAGCAGTGAATGAACAAGCAACAATAGAAGAAAAGGTGTTTTCTGTGAATCCGTCCCTGGTCTATATGAGGATCTCATGCAGTCAGAATTAGAAATGAGTTGAGTTCCGGTGTTGGAATTTGGCAGAATAATTCATAAGAAACGGCAAGAAAGGAATTAGGTTCTGCAAAGAAGAGTTCATGTGTGATTTGAAGTTCCAGTGAGACTGTTATGAATCCGCTGCAAGGAAACGGCTGACTAGTTTAACAATGACCTGTAAAATTTGGAAAGTGATAGCGCTGTAATTACATATAGTTCCGAGTGGAGTGTGTAGGGTGTCAATAAATCCAATCCAAACCCCTGTTTATAAGTCACGCACACCCCAAGTACGTGACAATATCATGACATATACACTAAGATTGATGAATATCTCTTAACTGTTTTAAATGTTCAAAAGACAGACACACAAGAGCGTGGTGAAGCCTGCTTTATTTCCACAACAGGCTAAAGGCAGAAAGAAGTTTTCAAGAAAATCATTCGCTCCTGTTAAAGACCCGCGTAAAGGTGAGAATCCCAGGGCTTACAGAAACCTCAGACCTGCACAGTTTCGGCTCAGCACCGCACCACCTGACACCTGACACCTATCACATGTCATTCAGGTGGTTACAGGATGAGCAAGGATATGGGCTGTCAGGTGATCCACTGCAGCCCAGGTTCAGCACGCACGCACACACACACACACACACACACGGCATTATCGATCTTGTATCAGCAAAGAATTACTCTTGAGGGTACAAACACAAGATGGGTTGGGACCCTTGTCGGAAACTCCATTACCAGTGCCGGGAGCGAGACAGAGAGAGAGAGAGAGAGACCACTGGCAAAGCGCACACAGGCCTCTAGAGTTCGCCTGGAGAAGTGTACATGGCAGTGGTTGCAGCTGCGTTGTGGGGAGAGGAGACGGTGACGCACTGTAACTAAATTACCACATACACCCCCTCATTCATTCATCGCCCCTACAGCCCCTTTATTTGTCCCTGGCCTCTTTTTATTTTTGGTATCATAAGCCTATACACAGTCAATAGAACTCCTTGGATGAGGGATCAGCACGTCGCAAGGACGCTAACTACAAAACAACATAAACTTAGAATAAACATTCATGCCTCGAGCGGGATTCGAACCCACAACCCCCGCGGGAGGAAAGAGTTCATAGTTGAGAGCACGTGGCCCCCGTGAACCACTCAATGTAACCTTACAGTTCTTATGTCAGTCAGTCGACACGACCGCATCAACTGCGCCCTCTGCTGAGAACAGCCGGGCCTAACATACTGACAGCACCGCGCTCTTATTGTTATAAGGCCACTGATATGGCAAAGTGGCGGGATAGTGGTTGCAACAACATTGTGTGGAGGAAGGGAAGCTGACGCACTGTGAACTTACGGCTGTGACCAAGGAAAACCACGGGAAAACTGTATCGATTTGACCGTTCGCTCCACCTTCCGAATGCAAACTGACATGAAGACAGCAGGGCGGGGTTTGAACACACGAACCCCAACATTAGTCCCTATCTGTCTGTTGCTTTATTTGAAACAAGAAAATGGCATATTTGTGTTACAGAGTTTGTTCCATGAGCATAATTTGGATGAGCAACCAACAGCTTTCTGTCCTTGGAGTGCTGGCGAAAGTCAAATACAATTGACGGCTTTGCCCCTCT